CTAAATTCAAATGAGTACAATCCAAATGGTTTTTGCCAAAGATATCAAGAGGAAGCTAAAGAGCTCCTATTTTTAATTCACCTTCATTGATCCTAAGCACCATAATTATATTCCTGTAATGTCTAGCTGAAATTTACCTTCCCAGTTTATCGTATAGGTATGGCTGGGACGAAGGCGCAGCTTTAATGCATAGTTCAGGGACTCTTGGCCTCAAGTGCTCATGTAGTAGGATAGGACTCCCAGTCTCTTACCAAGCCCCCACCTCCACACCAGTGTTTCTGGACACTTGCAGTAGGTGGCTCACCTACACTCAGTAACAAATCCAGTCTCCCTGACTACTACTGCCTCTCGTTTTTTCTATCCTGGGGCATCTTCCAGCCAACACTGTGTGCACCGGGTGCTCCGTGCCCTCTCACAGAAGGGATACCTATGTTTCAGAGTGTTCTCTTGGAAAGAAGGCAGGTCATCTCGGTCATATTCTGTTAAAGAACTATACAGGCCAAGTGCCAGTGCACTAAAATCTCAGAATTTAGAGAAACAGCCCTTTCAATCTTACTCTGCCCACCCCCCTCACAATAGTATCTGGGTATCCTTCATAAGTCCTGGCCTTAGAGACGAAGCCCAAAAATGCACTCAGAGATGTCATGAAAATTGCCTCTCCCTTTGGACTTGATAGGGTCCCTGGAAAAAATTCTTTTCGGAACTTTTTTTTTTTTAAAAACTCACTTTATATTCATTGCTTTCCTTGTCGGAACTTTTTAACAAAGATTTTCTTTAGTATCACCGAACCGTCAACTAAGTCATGTACAGGCCACATTTAGGCAACAGGCTTGAGCCATGGAAAACTGAGTAAGGTAAAGGGGTCCACGGTGACCACCGGGCTGAGAGCAAACAGGTCCGTTAGGCTACCCACCTCAAAAGAGCCATAAGCCCTAGCTGACCACTGGGCTGCTTACAACCGGGCGCAGGTACCAAGAAAGGAAAATTCCATACATTCCCATACCTCCTCACTTCCCCCTCTTACTACAGCACCCTGCTCCCCACCCCCGCCACCTTCTGGCAGACAGTCTCTCCTCTGCTGCCCTGCCCAATACTCCCTTGCAGCATTTTCAGTAAACTTCTGTCTCCTTTGTTCTGCCTTGGGTGAGTTCTTTCACCACCCCCAACGCTGGCCTCCACCCCATCGGGTCACCCCACAAATCAGCTGAAGCAGTAATCCTTAAATATACAGCTGGATGGGGCAACTTGACTTTAAGTTAGCAATTTCAATTTGAGTGTTTCACTTGAAGTACAAAAACAACGTGTGTTTCTATGTGTTTGGAGGCCTGGCAGGTTACCTGTGCTGGGGTGTGGCCCAGCCTGTGAAAGCCCGTCGACTCAAGCTGAGTCGGAAATGGCCCCTGATAGAGACCCGGAAGCCCATTTTGCTGCACAGTGGGGAGCATCGGGGCTAGGCTGCTCCTGCTAAGGCACCGGGGAGCCTTTTGCTTGGGTTTTGCTCGTGCCTTCTAAGTTTCTGCTCTCTGCGTAAACGCCCACTCGTTTGGACCTGCATGTAGTTTCTTTTCTTCTACCAAAAAAGTCAGCGCTTATTCAGAGTTATACCCCATTCCTTACTGGCTCTATCTTCTTTGCCTGACCTCTCCAGAAGGCTCCTCAGCCCCCGTAGAAAGAGACTTCGCTCAGTAAGCCATCACGTAGTTTGGCAGGCACGCCCAGGCATGACAGAAGTCAGGAGTGGACATGGTTTATACCAAAGCTATGATCCTCTCCTCAGTGAGTCAAGACGCCATATAGAAGGGCACTTCCAGTAGGTGGTTATTTCAACTAGCTGATTTCCTATCGACTATTATATTCAAAAATGCACTTCAAAGACATCATTCAGTGTTAGAAATGCATTAAGAAGTCAAAGGTATCACAAATGTCAGAGAAGTAAGTATTGTAAGTAGGACAGTTTCTCTGATAATCTGGGGATTATTCTATGACACTATAGCTTTCTGCCTCATTTTGGGCAACGCGTATTTTTCAGGGAAAGAAATTAATATCTGCTGTTGGCAATATTCCATGATAGAGACTTGCAATGGATAAACACTATTATTTATGTGGCTTTCAAGTTGCATACTTATATTCACATCGTGAGTTAAATACGGTTTTTGAATTGAGGCACATAATGGCTTAGATGAATGTAGACTGTGTTGAAACCATGAAAAGCTGAAGAAGGCAGATTGAAGCAGTATTCACAGAGTCGTGTACATAAAGCCGCCTGCACCATCCTTATGTTTAATATCGTTTACTGTTCTAGAACGATAGTCAATCGCCATGTGTTTCAGCGGGTTAAAGTATTATAGCAGATTTTACAATAAATCTACCAACACCACTAGCCAAGAAATTAAGCAGTAATTAGATATGGTAAGTATACAAAGGAGGGCTGTTCTGAAATTTGGCCCTCAGCGACTGGAGTTTTTTATTTTGTTTTTAAATTGGATTTCTTAAGCCCCAGTCAAATGAGTTGACCCTCTGCCCCCCTCTACTGGAAGCGATTGGCACTTTTAGATCAACAGTGGCCTGAAATACGGATAAAAAAATCCCGTTGCTGAGGCATGATAAATTATTTTGAGAATTCCAATATTCTCCTCTTGCTTCCAACTGTAATTTGCTGACACTTGTTATCTTGATTTAATAATTTCTTCATAAACTCTGGGAAAGCATTGAACAATTCATCTCTGGCTTACAATTCTTTTTTTTTTTTTTTTTTTTTTAAAGATTTTATTTATTTATTTTGAGAGAGAGAGAATGAGAGAGAACACATGAGAGGGGATAGGGTCAGAGGGCAAAGCAGACTCCCTGCCGAGCAGGGAGCCCGATGCGGGACTCGATCCAGGGACTCCAGGATCATGACCTGAGCCGAAGGCAGTCGCTTAACCAACTGAGCCACCCAGGCGCCCTCTGGCTTACAATTCTTATTAAAACTACATACTGAAGAAAAGATAAAAATTTTTAACTCTGATTAGATGAGTACACTAAGAATTTACTTACTTTCTTTGGTTACTATAGTAGCTCAACAAGATACCATGTTATGATTTATTCGTTTTAACAGACTTCACCTAAGGAACTCCAACAGCTTTGTAGATTTATCTAACTAAGTGCGCCATTTCTCTTCTGCCTTCTGGCCCCTCTGCCTCCCACTTCCCCATTCTGCCCTCACCCCACCCTCCTACCTCTGCCACCCCCAAGGTCAGTTTCTATGCACCTTTCCAGGCAGGGACCACCACTCTAAATCACTTCTAAATCAAGTGGAAAGCACAGGTTAACATCTTTACTAAATGCGTCAGAGAGTAGAGAAAAAAACCCCAGCACCAAACCATAAGCGGGTTAGTTGGGTTTACAGATTGTAACCTTCTTAGGTCATTTCGGGTAATTCTATGAAAATGTTATATAAAGAAAAGGTGATACAGGACTAAGACCTCCATTTTTATCACTTCATTTCAAACAAGCCCCTGTGACAGTCCATGGCCTACAACTGCCATACCAGACCTATGAGTAAGGACGAACGTAGAGCTTTGCTCAATCACCAACTCCTCTTTTATGGCACTTTTGGCATCTTCTTGACCTTGTGCTGCACACAGCCAGCCTCCCTGCTTCAGACCAGTTGGGGTGTAAGCATGAGGCCATAGCAGTGCAGACTCAGAAGCCTACACAATGAGTTGCTCCTTTATCCAGCATATCGAGCAGGATGTCTACTCAAAAGTACGCCCCAGGGCACCTGGGTGACTCAACACGTCCGCCTTTGGCTCAGGTCAAGATCTCAGAATCCTGGGATTGAGCCCCGTGTCAGGCTCCCTGCTCAGTGGGGAGTCTGCTTCTCCCTCTCCCTGTGCCTGCCGCTCCCCCTGCTCATGCTCTCTCTATCAAATAAATAAATAAAATATTTTAAAAAAACAAAAACAAAATACGCCTCTTCTAATTCCCCCCCCCCCCCGCCCAGATCACTGCCAAGTACTCTGGCTTTGATTAATCATTGTATGTACAGTGTCTTCATTACTAAAATTTTTTTTTAAAGATTAGGTTATATGATATAGAATTAAAGTAATGAGATTAACCTACCCAGGTGGCTTTAGTGGAATTAGCTCTGTTACTTAACAGTCATATATTTTTTTGACTGATCTCAAATTATCTAGTTTAAACCCTTAATGCTTTGGATGAGCAGGATGGCTCAAAGACTTTAAAGTGTTCCTTATAAAAGACAATTGGGATTCTGGAAAAGGCTATGCATGCTACATTCATATTTAAAATGTCCCAGAAAAAGGCAACAAACAGTTTAATGCTAAGATGCAGCTTAAAGCAACTCTGAAAATGTCAAGACTTTGTAACTATTACTTGCACCTAGTTAGAAAGACATTAATTTCTGATGATTTCTATTAGAGGTTAGAATAAGAAACTTAATAAAAATGGAGACCTCGGGTGCCTGGGTGGCTCAGTTGGTTAAGCGACTGCCTTCGGCTCAGGTCACGATCCTGGAGTCCTGGGATCGAGTCCCGCATCGGGCTCCCTGCTCAGTAGGGAGTCTGCTTCTCCCTCTGACCCTCTTCCCTCTCGTGCTCTCTGTCTCTCATTCTCTCTCAAATAAATAAATAAAAATCTTTAAAAAAAAAAAAAAATGGAGACCTCATTTTTTTTTTTTTTTTTTTGAGGATATAGTTCCTTATTCTCATGGTGAAAATCCATGTCTGGTCCATGGTAAAGGCTTTATGTAATAAAAAGTATTCCTTTGTGGGCATCACTGCCATCTCTCAGCAGCCCCCCTGAGCAGTAAGCACCTAAAGGTCACCCATTCCTCTGAAGACCTGCTCCTAAACTAATTCAATTCATGGAAATCCATTCTCCACATTACAGTCAGAACTGCCTCTCCAAAATGCAACTTGGTCCTGTCAGTCCCTGTGGAATTCCTTCAGTGGCTACCTCTTGTCCATACCTACCTTGTTCACCTAAATTTTTCATACCTTGTGGTGTTTCTCACACATAATGTCGGATGGATGCCGGGATGGGAAGATGGATGGAAGAATGGATGGATGGACAGGAGGAGAGATGGGGAGGTGAAAGAGAGGGTAGTGTCAACCAGCAGACCTCCAGCTTCACGCGGGCTTTGGCCGCAGCTGTTATGGAGCCTCCCCCAACTCCCTGCGAAAACGAGAGTAAAGAAAGAAAAAGACGGAAACTCACAACACCACAAACTAATATTTAGAAGCAGTCTAATTGTGTTCAGAAATGTATACCCAAGTTTTCTTCCTAACAGGATTAGACTTCACCTCCTGGAAGAGTCCACTTGAGCAAAAACATCCCTACTAAATCAAAGTCCGTGAACAAGCTATTCAGCTCAAGTTCAGTGGGAAGAATTGCAGGGAGAAATAAATTAACAAAGATAAGAGCAGATTTGGATTGGTTAGCCTAAAGCCAGCAGACTAACTAAACTGTATATTAATAAATCCAAGAGTTGGTTCTCTGAAAGACTGATAAAAGAATTATAACTTGATGGTACTGATCATGAAATTGGAAACAAACTAAGTGTCCATCAACATCGGAATGAATAAATAAATCATGTTTTCTGCATACAATTGGATACTAGACAGCAATAAACCTGAAAAGTCTACAGCTGCATATAGCAACACACTTGAATCTCAAAAATACAATGCTAGGCAAAGGACTCCAGACAAAAAAAAAAAAAGAATGTATACTAAATGGTTCCATATACAAGAACCTCAAAAACAGGCAAAATAATCTGTGGTGTTAGTAATCAGAATACTGATTACCTTTGGGGAGAATGGTTAACTTTCATTGCTGTGTGTATCTCTATAGGGAGGTTCTTGAAATGCTGGTGATATTCTATGTCTTGGCCTAGGTGGTTACATGGGTATGTTCAGTTTGCTTTAATTCATCAAGTGATATGCTCTGATTTATATACTTCTCAATATATGTGTTATATTTCAATTAAAACATGTTTTAAGGTAATCAAGAACAGAAAACCTTTTAAGGACAAAATATATTTAATGAAGAGGAAAATGTCAAAATATTAGTAATGTAAATAGCTAACGTACTTACTATATGCATAACATTATGCTAAGCACCTTGTAACATATTTACCACACAGCAGACCTATGAGAAACCCACTTATTAGCCCTATTCTACAAGTGAGGCAAATGATTCTTGGAATAGACTCGTAACTGCTAGACATCACACGGCTCAAAACCCATGTCCTTAAACACTGTTTTACACTACTTCAGAAAAATCCAATTCCCAGGACACAAACAAGTTCATAGTTACCACACGCTGTGTAAGTTGTTCTAGACAATAGTTTTCAAACTTTTGGATTTCACAAAACATGAAAGCTAAAGGAAAAGTTGGAGAGGCCAACATGGAATTACCAGGTTTCCATTTTTTGTAGCAGAAACATGCTTTTTTATTACCACTTATCATCATGATCATTTTGTAAGAGAATAAAAATTCTAGAATTGATAATATAACATTGTATGTCAACTATACTTCAATTAAAAAAACTCTAACACTGAGAACATAAGAAATACATAATCTCAGGATTAAGGACTATCCTTTAAATTAAATCAAATTAGATTTTTAAACCCATTATATTTTTCTTATTTTTCTTATACCAGGGACTTATGAGAACTTTTCTATGGATCAGCATTTGGAATACACTATTGTTTATTGGGGTTTGGGGATGGGGGGATATCCCAACACATTTTATGATAACCTTAATATCCTAATCTGAGAAAAATAAAATAGACCAATATAACAAATGAAAGCAGACACAAGTTCTAAATGAACAATTAAGCAGATAGAATTCAGACTTAGGTTAAAATAATAATAAACATTTATTATTTCAGGAATTTCAGGTTTATTTCAAGAATGGAAGATAGTTTCATCCCAGAAATTCAATCAATATAATTAGCCAATAATATGTTTGCATCAGCCAACCACTGCTACAATAATGCTGAATAACAGACCATTATAAAATCTCAGCAGCATGCAGTAATAAGCTTTGTTTGTGTGTCAGTGGGAGAGCTAGAAGTTGGCTCATCTAGGCTAGCCTCAGCGATAGAAGCTCTGCTCCCATGTCCCTTATCTTCTTTGGACCAGTGGACTAGCAAAGGCATATGCTAGTCTTAATATAATCATCTCAATAAATACAAAATATACATTTGAAGGAAAAAGTCCATCTCTTTTAGCAAACTAACTTAAGATATTTTTTCCATTACAATAAAGAAAGCCTATCTTGATTTTAGCCATTATCACACTCAGTTCTAAGATACTAGATCATTATATTTTCATTAAAGTCAAAAACAATAAAAAATACAAGTTATCCCTTACTCAACACTGAAAACACCAGCCACCTCAATAAGAAAAGTAAAAGAAAAAGAGATCTAAATATAGTCCACATTTTTTTTTGACTCTGGGGTTGGTTGTGTTCCAGAATTTAGAAGTTTTCATATTTTAGAAAAGTGAATTTACTACGTATCATGTAATAACAGAAGCGGATGCAGATTTCTATAATCAACAATATTTCCATAATAAAATGTATGAATATTAATAGGAAATGTAATCATAGAGACTACAAGCTGTCTCACATCCCTGTCAGTCAGACTTTAGTTCCAAACTTACAAGCTTGCCATTTTCAAAGTGAATTGCAGATAAGAGATTATGAACCATGATTAAAGAAGAAATCAAATTTTGATTACCAGTAGATTGCCTGCCTACAAAACCCCAGAGAATTAACAAGAAAATTATAATAGGAACTTATAAAGGTGATCACCTAGTAAAGACATCAAGTGCTTTTGTATATGCCAACAAAACTCAGAAAACATAAAGCAAAAGATAGTTTTTGTAATAGAAACAAGACCTTACAAAGCAATGAGCCCAACAGAAGAGTATAGTTATTTTTCTGAAGCAAACTTCAAGACTTTACCAAAGCACATTAAATAAACTAAAAATAATTGTAAACAAATCCAATTTAATTTGATGGGAAGATATATGGTAGAGTTGTCAAGTCTTTCAGATTAAAATTATTAAAATGTATATGTTCAATGATATTCTCAATTTCCTACTAAGGAATTTTTTTGGAATTTCATAAAAATAATTACAAATTTCATCTGGAAAATAAACAAGAATAACTAACTAGATTTCAAAAAAAAAGGAATAGTGGAGGGACTTCCATCAACAAATAATATTAGTTCACAAGAATATTTACTACAAAGCTATAATAAAAAACAATACTAATAATGTAGAAATAAAATGATAGAAATATATATTTCTTTGTAGCTCACAATAGAGTCACTTTTGGAATGCTCAAAAATCCACCACAAATGTAATGGATAAGCTTGAGGATTGTTTTAATTCTGTGACTTTTGCCAAGAATATTTCACTTTCTAGACCTAAGTTACTACAGGTTGTCAGTCCTTTCAACCTATAATTTTTATCTTTATCTTAACTCAAATTATAGTCACCACCAAATTTCCTTTTTATTTTTTCTCCTGAGAAATTTTGAATTTTATGATATTTTCAAAAAGTTTTGAAATCAATGTCTAGATAACAAAATGGTAATGTGTCATTTTTTGCACTTTTATTCTAGACTTGTCTATCTAAAATGTTGCTGACAATAATAAATCATGCAGAAAAGAAAATATCTCCTTATATGAGATTTTTTTTGTGATACATTCCCTTCAAGAGTAAAAAATAAAGGTATTATGAATGTCTCTTCCAGATTTTGGAAAAATCAATTGGACCTAAGGTCATGACCACTTGCCTGCCCTACGGCCTTGGTAACGGCTACATTTGTCAATGGTTAAACCTCAGTTATAGGTAATGTTTGTTATCTATTCTCATTCTACCTTTTAAGGATTTCTCTCTTGATATAAAGTCAAAATTCAGCTACTAGAAGAACTTTACCATTTTGCGTCACAGATTGACAAAGCTCCATTTCCATCCTTGTTCCAAATAGTTGAAAAGATAGAGAAACCTCACAATGGGGTGGGACATTGGCAAGGCTTTTAAGAAATTCACATCTCTTTTGAGATCCCAAGTTCTCCACTCAACGTTTTGCTGCAGGCTAGGCGCCAAACTGCTCAGGTGGATCTGAGCATCTACCAGACCCCTACGTGCAGTCCACTCACTGAAGTACATGGAGATGGTCAGGCATTTCAACTTTAAAAAACAATCCATACACAATTTTCCATCTGTGCTACAAAACATGATTTGTATAATGAAAATAAGTGACATCATGCAAAAGGTATAAAATTTGTGAAACAAGATGGTTTTCTTTTAAGTAGGGTTTGTTTGTGTTGGAACTGGAATTCAAAATACCCTGATAATGTTGGGCCACGGACCAAGTAATGAAAGAAACCAAATCAAGATAAATTCTGGCCAGTAGGATAAAAACTGAACTAGTGTAGGACAAGGAAGATGTGTTTTATGAGCGGTAATGTGGCGAAAATAGATGGCTGGGTTTGAGTCAGTGGTAATCTCAGCATGTGTCAACAGCAATATGACCTTGTAAGAGGGCAGACACGTGGTCTGATCCCAGCAAGGAAATGGTCTTGGGCCCTGGATCTCCCGCATTATAAGGGATAGAGGTCAACTCAAATGTGTGCAGAAGAATTGAAGCAGGATGGAAACCCGACCTCAAACTGTATCATCTGAGAAAAATCCAGTAAACAAGTGATCTAGTAGAGAAGTCCAAATGGGAACATGAACATTGCCCTCCCACACATGGTGGCTCTGTTCTGCATGCTGCAAAGGCTGACAGGGAGACTGATGGCGACTCAGTGTAAGGAAATACTTCATCATTTTCAAAATAGCCCAACGATGGAAACGTGGCCTTAGGAGTTTCATATCACTAGAGAAGCACAAACACAGCTGGGGGAAGATATCACTTCACAGGCCTTTTATAGGAATCAATGGGGAATTTGGACTAAATGACCTCTATCATCTCTCCCAACCCAGATTCTGTGATTCCTTTACTCTAAAACAAGTATTTAAAAGCAGCAGAGGGGCGCCTGGGTGGCTCAGTTGGTTAAGCATCTGACTCTTGATCTTAGCTCAGGTCTGGATCTCAGAGTCTTGAGTTCAAGCCCCACATTGGGCTCCACGCTGGGCCTGGAGCCTACTTAAAA